CACCTCTCACTGACTCGTTAACAACATTATTATATTTTTCCCTTTGTATCATTTTGGATGCCTTTGAGACGATTTTACCCTGCACTGATTTTGAAAAGATGATAAGGTAGCATGTCTGGCAGCGAAGGGATTGCGAGTGGTTGGCGAATGTGCCAGGATCTGGACAATAAAGATGTATCTTATCTTGTCTTATCTTAATGCTCAGGTGTGATTTGCTCCTTCTTTCCTATTAAACAACTAATGTCTTTATCACTCCTCCTTTTCTATGTATTGTATTACTCACTAGTAATTTACTAGTAACACCTCTACCTGGGCACTTATATGACCAGTTTCTACTGAAAGTGCTGTAAAAATTCTTTCAAAAAAAAAAAGTAAAGTCGTTAACACGCTGGAAGACAATGTTGACCACCAATGAATGTCCTTCTCTCACTCAAAAAGAGTACAGTAGGTGCCCAATGTTCTTTTCTCACTCCAACAGAGTATAGTAGGTGCCCAATGTCCTTCTCTCATTCCAACAGAGTATAATAGGTGCCCAATATCCTTCTCTCACTCCAACAGAGTATAGTAGGTGCCCAGTCAGCTGAGACGAATGCTGGACGTATCGGACTGACCATTGTTTTACTTGGCGTGGCTGGGGCGGTCGTGGGTGGAATCTGGCTGGACCGGACGAAGACTTTCAAGTAAGTGACCACTCACCATCACCATCACCATCACCATCATCATCATCATCATCATCATCATCATCATCATCATCATCATCATCATCACCAATGCCTTCTATTCACCCCTGGCAGGGTATAGGCCACATACAAGCTCCTTCCATTTACCTTTGTCCTGGGCCATCCTTCCAAGCTCGCTCCAAGTGAGCTTCATCTCTCTCATGTCCCTTTCCACACATCTCCTCCATGTTTCCCATGGCCTACCCCTGCCTCGTGTTTCTTGTGGGTTTCACAGCAGTGACTGTCTTGTGATGTTTCCGCATCGCGTTCTTAAGGTGTGTCCCATTCATTGCCACTTTCTTAATCTATTTCTACTTCTATAGGCTATCCTTTTGTCCTGTCCTTTCCCACAGCTCGTAATTTCTTATTATATCCTACCATTTAATTCTTAGAATACTCCTCATACATCTGTTGATGAAAGTCTGGAAGTGACCACTGCAGATAAGGAAAAGATAAGCTTATAAAGGATCTCGTAATACAGCATGAGAGGGAACGAATTGTTTTAAAAAAATATGATAAATAATGTTTTTATATTACTCAAATTGAGCCAGTTTTGAGGAAAGCATGCGTTTCCTTGAATAGTTCAATTTTATTTTGTTTTGGTGATAGATTTTTTTTTCTTTATCAAAAACCAGAAATATTCCCCTCCACGCTTGTCCCAAAATGAGAAACAATTTTTTTGGTAAGTGTTTTACGGCGCTCGCAACTGCATAAGGTCATATGAGCGCGTGGGACACGCCACACATTTTCAGCTGGTGGGAAATTTTGAATTTTGCCCTGGTGGCGGCCAAAGCCTACTCTTATCGATTTTAGACCACCGAGGGATCTTCAACATGCGCAACTTGCACACAGAACCTCCGAGGTCTTTTGCCCTTGTCTGAGAAGGCTAGGTGTAGATCTTTCCTACCAGAAGATCAGGGGGGTGGCTGAAAGACTGCAGTAAGAAGGAGCCAAGTAGTAGCAGTTGAAAGGCTGCAGAAAGAGTCAGGAACCCAGAGGAGGGGGTGGGGGCAGAAATAGGAGACGAAACCAGATGACAGAACATTGCTAGAGAGCAAGAAAGGATGTGAAAGGAGACAATTTTAGAGAAGAAAATGTTTTCATCGTTACCCAGATTCGAACCCGGGACCTTTGAATGAGAGGTGAACACCTTTATCTCTAGGCCACGAGAGCCCCCTGAGAAACATATAAATGGATTGTCCATCCTCAGGTCGACCACAATCGCCATCTACGTCATGTCTCTGGCTGGCATGGTGGCCTTCACCTTCACCCTTGACCTTGGTCTCTTGTGGGTTGTCTACGTCACAGCAGGCTCTTTAGGGTAAGTCTCGTTTAAATTCTAGATGTTTTAAGGATAAGTCTTTTCAAACCTTTTTAGGGAAATTCTCTTTTAAAAGTTTTTAGGATAGTCTCTTTTTTTTAACGTTTTTGTGTTTTTATCTTATTGTCAGCCCCGAATTTACACAAGTGC